TGATGAAAATTACAGGCCTCTCTCATCTTTTTAAGTGGGAGAACTTGCACAATTGGTGGCTGACTAAATACTTTTTTGCCCCACTGTAAGTGTTGGAAAAGTTACTTTTATTTATATTTTTAAAGGGACTATTCATTACAGGTAGTCCTTGTTTAATGACAACTCGTTCAGCAACTGTTCAGAGTTTCAACAGTGCTAAACAAGATGGACTTACAACCAGTCCTCGAAGTTCTGACCCCACGGTCATGTGATCGCGATCTGGATGCTTGGCAACCGACTTGCACTTATGGTAGTTGCAGCATCCCATGGTCACATGATTGCCATTTGCCACCTTCCCATAAGCAAAATCAGTGGGGAAGCCGGCAGGGAAGGTCGCAAGTCACTCTGGTAAGTCGCTTGTGCTCTCCCACTCCCGGGGAGCCTGAGCTGCACCTCGCTGGCCACCCACAGACCCTCCCACGCAGCAGGAACCACTTACCTGCCGGCTGTCCTGTTTGCAAGCCACCTGAGACTCACTTAACGACCTGCGCTCCTTGCTTAACAACAGCAGTAGGGAGTGCTGGGACTACCGTTGCTAAGCGATGTGGTCACGTGACATCATGTTTTACGACCACATCACTTAACGACGGAGATTCCGTTCCCAATTACATTTGTTAACCAAGGATGGCTGGAATGAAAGTTGTCTTTCCCCAATCCCTGCACAGCGACACGTCAGCAGCAGAATAACTTCTGAAAGGAAACCAGGGTGCTGGTCCTTGGCAGCCTTGGCAGTCAGTCTCTTGGCCAGCATTAGCAGGGTGAGCACTTGCTCAGCCTCAGGGTACAGCTGTGGGAGCCAGGAGGCAAGGATGGCCCCAAAGGGGGCGTACCCCACAGCACGGTGGGCTTTTCTGCCTTTTCCATCGACAGCCACCGGTCAGTGTTACACCGTTGGGAGCAACCAGCATGGCCAGCTTGGCCCCATCTCCTGTCGTGCCAGCCGTGCCCCGTACCTGGTGGAAGGGCTCCAGACCATCAGAGTCACCATGGTGGGATGTGGCGATGCCTTCACCCTGGTTGTGGGAGCAGGTGAGTTGCGGCGTGGGACTCGGAGCCCCGTGCCCTTTGGCCACTGCTTGGGGGCCGCCGGGTCACCTTGCTGCCTTGGCCTTCCCAGATGGCGAGGTCTACACCTGGGGGAAGAGCGCCAGGGGGCGCCTGGGCAGGAAGGAGGAGGAGACAAGAAGCCCACGGCCCGTGCAGCTGGAAGAGGGCTCCCCCAGCCTGGTTGTCTCGGTCTCGTGCTGCCACGGCAGTACCCTGCTAACTGTCAAGCGTGAGTAGCTGGGTTGTGGGTACAGGCTGCCAAGGGAGAACTGGGCACTGGCCGCCAGCTGCCAGGCAGCGTGAGACACAACAGTGGCGCCTCCACCTTTGCCTGTCACCGTCCTTCCCCCGTGAGGGGCTGGCGGGCAGAGGCGGGCAGGCGGGAGGCCGCAAAGGGGTTTGACCCCCAACAACATCTGCGGATGCTGAGGTGGGTGTCCTAGGGATGTGCCGGGCCCCCTTGGCTTTGGAACCTCAGAAACCTGAAGCCTCGCAGCAGTGGACGGCAGGAGCTGCGTTCACATGCGCACTCAAAGGATTAACCACAGCATTCCTCCAGCAGACAAAGCCGTGGCCTTTTTGCAGACTCAGGCCCTGGGTGCTGGAATTGCTGAGTTTGAGGCAGAGGCGTGCTCCCTGCCCTTTGGGGGCCCCATGCCTCTGCAAAAGAAGCCCCAAAGAAAGCAAGCTTTTTCTTGCAACCCCTGTTTTTTTCCTGGGCTGAAGCAAGCTGGCTCTGTCCGCAGCAGAGTGGCTTTTTGATTGCAGCGGCCCCTTTTTCACCTCGGTTCTCGTCTCGTCTCAGGAGCATCTCCTGGCAGGTCCCGTGGGACGTGCTCCTCAACAAGGGTTCAGCCGCAGCACCTTTTCCCCAGACTTCTTGGGGCTGCATTTGGGGTGGCAGGGAGACAAGGGGTCCAAGCAGCCTGAGAATCCCACCTGAAGCAGAGCACATCTGGGGCAGGGAGGCCAGCAGAAAACCAGGTCCTGGGGTATTTTCTGAAGTTCCTCTGCACTGCCCTGAGGACAGGAAATCCTGAAATAGCTTCGCTCCTAAATGTGGCCCCAAGGAAAGCGCGAATCAGCCAGCCGGCATCTGTGCCTCCACTCCAACAACCAGAGGAGGAGCTGGCAATGAATGGATGGCTGGAGAGGAAGCCAGGAGATGAAAAGGAAGAGGCTGAGTTTGTAGGTTTCAGCCCGGAGACAAAGCGCCTCTTTATGAGATCCCCCAAGTCTTCACCCGCTACTGTGCCTTTGCCAGCCTTGCTTCCAGCTGCCCCCACCGGATGCTGTGGGAGGGAGGGAGGGAGGGAGGGCCCGGTGGCCAAACCACCCTTCCCCCTCTTCCCTTGCCAGGCAGGCTGTCAGGCCGGGTGATTTCTGGTCTCAATGTGTCTTTTATGTTTCAGCTGCAGTGGAAGAATCCAGCCCACAGTGAGGGGAATGGACTGGGATGCAAACAGAAGGAAGGACACCAGGGTCCCTTCCCCTTGCAGAGAGCCCTGACCCACCTCATCTTGGAGGCTGCGGCAAACCTGGCCCATGGACTGGGAGGGAGCCCAGCACCCACTGATGCAGGCATCTGCAGGATTGCCCGCCTTCCTTCCTTCCTTCCTTCCTTCCTTCCTTCCTTCCTTCCTTCCTTCCTTCCTCCTTCCTCCTTCCTCCTTCCTCCTTCCTCCTTCCTCCTTCCTGTCTGAAGCTTCTGGGAGGGAGAATGGCTGCTTTGGCATCCACACCCCCACAGACAGCGTGTCCAAGGCAGAGCAGCATCTCCTGCAGAAGGCACGGCTCTTCTCTGGAGAGTGACTTTGGAGGTAGGGAAGTCGCGGGGCCAGGCTGATGTTGACTGTCGTTCCTGCTGACTCAGACTGCTACGTAGCCTCTCGCAGGAGCCCAGCAGAGAGGACTGCCATTCCAGCATGACCAGGAGTGATTCAGAGGCCTGAACGTTGCTGCTGCTTTTATTCATCCCGCTGCCTCATTCCATGATCTGACCCTGGTCCCTGTTGGATGTGGTCTGTTGAACCCTCTCCAGCCCACGGGGGCCATCAGCAACAGAGCATTCTTGCTTCTGGAGCCATTATTTTTCCCAAGCAGTGTCCAGTCCAGCGGCACCTCCCAAATTGTATGGAGTCTCAAATTCTCAGACTGCCTGACCCCCACGAACAATAGCATCTCTCTGTGTCAAACTTCTATTCCAGGAGCAGCTGTCTGTACTTAGTCCCCTGCAAAGTTTGGCCAGGGAAAAGTGGGGGGAAGGGGCAAATTCAGAGCTGAAAGCTACGTTTTTAAACAGCATTGGTACCCTCCATTTTTAGTGCCTCTTAGTAAGAATTGCAATGTATCTACAGTTGTTGTTATTACTACTACTACTATTGGAATGTGTGTATTTGACATGCACACTGCATTCATAAACCGACCAATCTGCAATTGCTCAGTCTATAGAATATTTTGAGGAGGGGCCTACTTCAGTCAGCATTGTTTGCTGAGTCCTGTCTGTTACTTAACTGCCCAGGTTTGGGTCAGGACAAGACCTGAGGGTGGAAGAGCTGGGAATGGAGCCACAAAGCTTTAGAAGCTGAGCAGCTGCTTTCTCCATGAGAAACCGCAGGTTCCATCTTTAGCCCTGAAAAATAAACAGGGCAGGTGATGGGAGAAATTCCCCCCTGACTACTTGAGACAGTGATGAGTACATGAGGAAGGTGTCTGATTGGGGGCAAGACAGTTGCCACAGCAGGAAGGAATTCTCAAGGAATTGGTTCCCTGCTGGTGATTGAGTGATGGCTTTTTGGGGGGGGGGGGGGGGGGGG